ATTGAAAAACAACTGGATCTCCAAATCCCTGTCCCCTGTGTGCCCCCCTGAGTGACCTCCCCTCCTCCACCATGGCAGATCTCTATAGATTTATTCCCTGAAAAGAGTTTCTGGACTGGGAGGTATCCAGACAGAGAAAGGCAGAGATATCATTACTGAAAATAGGGGCATTAAGTGAATGATGCATACTAATGTTGAAATTTAGCTCCTAGCTCTAATTCCTCCAGGAATTCAGTTAGGCTTTTATTTTCAGGAGACTGGAGGAATTCTCTGAGCAAAATAACCAGCCTAAGAGGAAAGAGCTGAACCTACAGATTTGGGAGGATAGTTCCCCAAATCATGGCCCAGTGAGATCTTCCTGTAGTTAGGCTCACCATCAGCAAGTCCCTCTCAAATATACAGATTCAAATCACCTGTTTAAGTTTCCTTCTCAAAACATAAATTAATAATTTAGGATTAAATTATTTGTTAAATTATTAACTTATGTATTAAATTAAAGAAGCCTGAGAACATTGCTATGAAGTGAATTGTGTCTCCCCCCCCCCCCCGAATTCATCGCAATGTTCTCAGGCTTCTTTTAATTCTAAATTATTAATTTATGTTTGGGGGTTATACTGAAGCCCTAATCCCCAATGTAACTGTATTTGGAGACGGGGCCTTTTGGAGGTAATTAAGGCTAAATGAGGTCATAAGGGTGGGACACAAGTGTAATAGAATTAGTGTCCTTATAAACAACGACACCAAAAGAGCTCTCTCCCCTCTGCACAGGGCACACAGAAAGAAATCTAGTGAACACAGTGAGAAGGCAGTCATCTACAAGGCAGGAGAGACCTCTCACCAGAAACTAAACTGGCCAGCACCTTGATCCTGAACTTCCCAGCACTCCAAAACTGCCAGAAATAAATTTCTGTTGTTTAAGCAACCCAGTCTGTGACATTTTGTTATGGTGGCCTGAGTTGACTAGTACAAACATCTCCAACAAACCAAAAAGAAAAATTGCAATAGGGAGGAAATACCCTATGCAGGGAAAAAAATAGTTCAAAAAACTATCATTAGAGAAATGAAAACATATATCCACACAAAAACTTGTACATGAATATTCATAGTAACATCATTCAAAATAGCTCCAAAGTAAAAACAACCCAAATGTCTATCAAAAAGAATAAAAGACGTATGTCTACGCAAAGACTATTATCCAGTAATAAAAAGGAATGAAGTACTAATACATGATATAACATGGATGAACCTTTAAAACATTATGCTAAGTGAAAGAAACCAGTCACAAAAGGCATTTTGCATGACTCCATTTATATGAAATGTAGACAATAGGCAGATCTACACGGAGTAGATTAGTGATTGTCAAGACTGGATGGGGAAAGACAATGGGAAAATTGGGGAGTGATAGTTAAAGGTTACAGGATTTCTTTTTGGTGAAATGAAAATGTTCTGATCAATGATGACTGCACAACTCTGTGAATATATTAAAACCACTGAATTGTATACTTTAAATAGGTGAATTATATCTCATAATGCTGTTACGAAAAAATGAAAACTTGACAACTTAAAAAAATTTTAAAAACTTTAGCTCTACAACCATACCAAGTACTCACGTAAGCGTTAAAAGAAAATAATTAAGTTGGGCTGTATTTGTCTGACGTGGAAAGATCCCCAAGACTTATTGTTAAGCGCAAAAAGCAAGTCAAAAAAGCCATATATCAAACGTTATAACATTTGGGTAAAACAAAACCACAAGATAAAATTCTCTCTCTTTACACACACAAGTGTGTGCTCACACACACAGACACAAATGCAGAGCAAAAGTTTTGGCAAAGATAACTGGAAAAAAATTATAAATAGTGATGTAGGAAAATTTTCCTACATATTTACAAAACCTTATAAATAGTACAGAATAAAATAAAGGCAGACAGACATTCCAGGAAAAATAAAAAGTGGTAAGAAAGAAAATGTAACCGTAATGATTACTGCTTTGGCAATAATCAACATTTACACAGTAACTTAAAAAACAAACACACAAACAAAACAACAGTAAAAAAAAAAAATCCAATTAGAAATCAGGCAAAAGACAAAAACAGATATTTTGTTGAAGAAGATATAAATGGGAAATAAGCGCGTGAGAAAAATGTAAGATGTTCAACCTCAGTATCCATTGGGGAAATGCAAATTGAGACCACTATGAGATGTCACAGTGCACCTATTAAAACAACTAAAATAAAAAATATCGACAATACCAGATGTTGCCAAGAATGTGCAAAAACTGAATCTCTCATACACTGGTGAGGAGAATGTAAAATGGTACAGTCACTCTGGAAAATAGTTTCTAAAAAACTCATATATGCTCACATACGACCCAGCAACTACACTCCCAGGCCTCTATCCCAGAGAAATGAAAATGAACATCCACACAAACAGCTGTACCCAAGAGTTCGTCTCTTTATTTATAATAGCCTCAAACTGAAAACAAGCAAAATATCCTATAATAAGTGAATGGGTAAACAAACCGTTATACATCCATGCCCCAGAATCCTAACCAGCAACAAAAAGGAACAAACTATTGCCATAAGCCACAACTTGGATGTGTCTCAAGGACATTAGTCTGAGTGAAAAAAAGCCAATCTCAAAAGGTCACATATGGTGTGATCCCACTTATGTAACATTCTCAAATAACAAAATTACAGAAATGGAGAACACATTAGTGATTGCCAGCGGTTAGGATGAGGAGGAGGAAAGTGGATGGGACCAGGAAGGGATAGAACGAGGGAGATACCTGTGGTGATAGAATAGTTCTGTATTTTGATTACAAATATAAACCTGTGCAAATCTGGATTAAATCTACACAAGTGAAAAAACAGCCTAGCCTAGAACTATACATGTATTATATAAATGTCAATTTTATGGCTTTGATAGTATACTAACATAAAATATAATCAGTGGGGCAAATTGAGTAAAAGTACATGGGACTGTACTGTTTTGGCAACTTCCTGTGAACCTATAGTTATTTCAAAATGAAAAGGTTTTTGTTTTTTTTTTTTCAGATTTTATTACTTTTTCTTTTAGTGTTTATTTTTGAGAGTGAGAGAGAGAGAGCACACGCACATGCATGAACGACCAGGGAGCAGGGGAGGGACAGAGAGAGAGGGAGACAGAGGATCTAAAGCAGGCTCTGCACTGACAGCGAAGAGTCCAACACGGGGCTTGAACCCACAAACCGTGAGATCGTGACCTGAACCAAAATCAAGAGTCGGATGCTAAACCAACTGAGCCACCCAGGCACCCCACAATAAAGTCTTTTATAAGGACACATCAGGGTCCAAAACAGAGCTCTTAAGAATTAAAAACATGATGGCAGAAATTAAATAGAAGGATTACAAGATAAAGTTAAATAAACAATCTCCAAAAGAGGAAAAAGACCAAGAAGTGGAAAACAGGAAATAAAACTTAAGCAAATTAGAGAATCAGTCTTACAGAAGCAACATGAGAATAATGAATTCAAGCAAGAGAGAATGGAGAAAGTGGGAAGGAGAAGTCAACAACAAAATAATTCAACAAAATTTGACAGAATAGACATGAATTTCTGGTTCCCACCAAAATGAGTGAAAACAGACCCACAGCAAGGCATATCTTTGTGAGACATAACACTGGAAACACAGAGAAGATGCTACAAGCTTCCAGAAAGGAAAAAAATCAAGTCACATACAAAGGAACACGTGGCTTTGGACTTCTCCACAGCCAACACTGGACGCTAGAAGACCACAATGTAATGTTTTCAAAACGCTGATGGTCTCCCACCAAGAATTCCATACTCAACCAAACTTGCAGGCAGGTAAACGTGAAGGCAGAATAACAACATTTTCAGACATGCGTGACATTTTAGACAGAAATAAAAAATATTTATTCCGCATGCACTCTTTTTCAAGAAACTACTGGAAATTGTGCTCCACTAAAACAAGGAAATTGGACATCTTCCTCTAGGACACAAACGTATGACCACACAGGGCATCCGTGCTTCTCTCCCCTACGCTCCTCTAATCCCATCAAGGGTGTCAGCACCGATGGGTAGGTAGCCCCAGCTGGGAAACTAAGTCATCCATTCCACTCTCATTTCTCAAAGCTAAGCATGAAGTCTTAACGACTTAATTCCCTAAATACTTTTCATTTCTGTCCCTAGTTCGATGGCTTTACTTTAAGTCTGTATCATAAATACCACCTAACTAATCTGCCTATCTCCAGTCCTGGCCTCCTCAAATCCTTTCTCCACAAAGCAGCTATAGCCATCGGCCTAAAATGCAAATCTGACCACATCACTCAGTTACTTACAACTTATCAAAAGTTTCTCAAATTCAGACCAGCAAGCAAGATCAGGATGTGGCAAACTGCCGGTCTCCACACCTACCTCCCTCACCTCCGTGGTAGAGATTATATTCGATCCTGGCATTCTCCTGCAGATCCCAAACTTAGCCTCACAACTTTCTCAACCTAGCTCACAGATATCCACCGCGAAATGAAATGAATTGCGACTCCTGTTCCGTATAAAGGCCGAGTACTTTAACGAGGCACAGGGGGCCCTTCCAGAATTTACTCCTGCTTTTCTACAGGGAACTGTCCACTCCCCCCGTTTCACACCTCCTCATCTTTGCTTTTGCTATTCTATCTGGGACGCTCCCTCACCTGGCTCATCACCTTGCCATTTCATACCATCTCCAGGACCTTCTCTCACTTCCTTAAGTGAGTCCAATCTTTTCTCTGTGCTCTTTTAACTTGTTCCCAAACCACACTGTACTCAAATTCTGTTTACAAGTCTCCCTCACTAGACTGCACTTACTAAAGGACAAATGCCTTGTCTTACTCTATTTCTAGCACCCACGGCAGTGTACGAGTTCCATAAACATTTGTTGAAATTAAGTGAGCACAAATGCAGCAGGGTACTAGGGGTGAAACAGACAAGAAAGTAAAAGGTCCCATCGGGAAGAGGATAAACTAACGTCATAGTTTGCTTCCTTTACACATGGCTTGCTCTGCTTGTTCCTGCTCATCCTGTATCCCCAGAATCAGAAACGATGGCTCCTTTTGACTTTGCTCCTTTTAGGGTTCAGGGCGTTCATCTGCATGTTCGTTATACTGTGGAACTGCCACACCTAGACTGTAAGCCCTTTGAGGGAAGGGGCTGTGTCTTCGGGCACTTCGCTTCTCTGGGCGACAAATGGCGGGGTACAGCGAACGTTCGGGAGGGTGGTCTCTCACCACCTGATGCCGGACTTGGCTCGCAATCCCCCAGGCCCGCCCCGCCTCCCTCCGCTCTCCAGACCCCTCCTCACGGCGGCCGCCTCCCGCCTTCCGGCCGACGGAAGTCGCTAGCTGCTCTTCCCGGCCCACGTGGAGCCTTTTCCGGTGCGCCCGCCCCCTCCGGCTCTCCGATCGAGACCTGACCCTCACCTCGGGATTCCCAATGTGCCTCCGGACAGACATATCTGCTCCAACCGACCACGCCGGGATTCTAGCCTCGCCGGTAGCCTCTAACCCTAACTTCCTACCCCGACCACCTCTCTCGGCCGCCTCCTTACAACCTCTACTCCGATTGGCTTCCCTGCCCCGGCTAGCCAATGGAGGCTCTGTTTACTCTCTCTTTCCAGGGTCAAGGGGGAAGCGAGACGCCGCTCAATGGTTGCCAGCGGCAACGGGGGGACGCCGGCTGCGGAGGCCCTTTGTGCTCCGGGCAAGGCCCGGCAGGCTGCAGCCTGAGAGCGGGAAGAGGGGCGTGGGGGGAGGGGCAGGCTGGCGCCTGCGCGTGAGCGGCTATGCGGAGCCCGGGGAAGGGGGGGGAGGGGAGGGGCCCCAGAGCAGGAATTGGTTAAGGGGGCTTTGGGGGGAAACAAGGAGCTAATGTGCAAGCACATACGTGGCACGGGCACTCTCCCCTCCTAAGGCCATCTTAAGCAAACATCTGGGCTACTTCTACAATAGGGAAAAGATAGGAGACAGGGCTGTTCCTCAGGAATTGGAGAACCTGTAGTTTCATATTTTCAGGTTAGGTTAATATGCAAATCATGCGAAATATCATGCGTCAATACAGTAATTATTGTTGCCTTAAAAGCGCTTTAGCTAGCTAGAGAATGGCAGCTTTAATTGCAAAGCGCACACACCATTCTGTGATTCATCATTCGCTTAACAAATATTTAATAAGCACCTTATGAGAAAAGCTCCAGTAGGTTGTGTGGAGGATGGGAGGATGACTAAGAACCAATCCCGTTGTCATGGAAACCATTGTGACTCCTGCCATCAGCTGCCACCTGTTCTTATTCCAGATCTGAAAATTAAGTCCCAGCCACCTTTACAAAACAATCACACACACAGTTTGACTTTGGCCCCAAAATGTCCCACCAAATCCATCAAAATTACTATTTACTTTTACATGGGAGAACAACACAGTAACCCTTTGTCCTTTGCTGGAAGTTGTTTTTCCAGGAATGGAGAAAGGTTACTCTGAACTGCTCATGTTCACCGGCTGTCCCTGCTTGTGCATAATAGCATGCAGCTGAGCTCCTTCAGGGTCTGTGCAGAGGACCCATTCGGCCACATGGCCTCACGTGCCCTTGTCCTCTCAGACACTTCAGCGTTGCACCCTTAAGGCCGCACCTTAAATCGTGTAGTCACTTATGGCTGCTTGACCTCCAGGATCTTAAGCTGGCCACAGCTGTCTCTTGCCCATTCCTGCCTACTGAGTGTGTCTGAACTTTCCTAGTGTTCTCCGGTCTTTTAACCCCTCTAAAACCCCCAGTTTCTCACTTCTCCACTAGAATAAGGAAGAGGTTAGAGGCTGCAAAAAAAAAAAAAAAAAAAAAAAAAAAAAAGGGAAGGGGACAGTAGGGAGGATATCTTAGTATGCAGAGGCTTCTGGACACGTTGCTACTTAGAATGAATGTTTGCCAGTGCCCTGTGGAAGCGAGGTGATGATGGGGATTATGGGTAGGATAAAGAGAAGAAAGAAAAGGGAGTGATGATAAGGGACGAAACTAAAAGGTGGTAAGAAAGAGAGGAAAAGAGTTTTAAAGGCCTTTGTGGGTCAAACGAACGGCTATTATATATGTGGGAAGTAATGAGTGCCAAGGATGGGAAGGCATCAAGGGTGGCTATAATTTTTCCAACTTGGGGGGCTGAACAGATGAGTGATAATGCATTAATCAAGTTAAAGAGCAGTGGAGGTCAGTAAATCAAAAGAACAGAACAGCCTTTTTGGAGTTGGAAGCTCCCCTTCGGTTCTTCGGTGCTTGGGCTCACTTTTCTGGTCATCTTCCTTTTTTCCCAGCGGGTATGGGAATATCGGGTTTATTTGCCTTGGGACTCATTTTGGTTGTCCAATTGGGGCTGCCTTATTAAGCCTGCAGAGCGAGTGTAGAATGTGGGGTCTCGGGTCCAGCCATCAGAGATGCCGGTGTTTAGGGTGAGGGTTTAGGATTTTGTAGCTAAAAAAGAATTTTTTTTAATGTTCTTCATTTTTTAAAGAGAGGTGAGAAAATGCAAGCCGGGGAGGAGCAGAGAGAGGGAGACAGAATCTGAAGCAGGCCGCAGGCTCCTTGCTGGCAGCACAGAGCCCAGCGCAGGGCTCAAGTTCATGAACTGCAAGATCATGACCTGAGCTGAAGTTGGACGCTTAACCAAGTAAGCCTCCCAGGCGCCCCTAGGATTTTGTAATTTAATACATGTTTCCCCACTCCTGCTCCTTGATTCTGGTGCAGAGTCCATGGGCCATACCATGAGAGGCTCCGCTGTGGAGGAACTTCTCATTTTGTCTCAGTGGAATCCTTAGAAAGCTTAAAACTATAAATCAAAAAGCGTTTAACACCATAAATTTCCTTTCAGGATGCCTTTTGGACACAGAGCAAAACTGCATCGTAATTAAACAAGGTGCTTACTGCTAATATGAAAAATAGGTAAGTGTCAAAACAAGATAATTCATAGAAGAAAAGCATTTAATAAGCATATGAAGAAATATCCAACTAATAATGAAAGAAATACAAAACTGTTCAGCTAGACCTCATTTTTCAAGTAACAAATGGACACAAGTGTTTGTTTTCTCTGTTTTGTAAACAATAATGCCCAGTGCTGGCTAATGTTTCATGAAACAAGCATGCTCATACATTGTGAGTGTGACTATAAGGAAGGGTGACCAGGGGCGCCTGGGTGGCTCAGTCGGTTGAGCGTCCGACTTCGGCTCAGGTCATGATCTCGCGGTTTGTGGGTTCGAGCCCCGCGGCGGGCTCTGTGCTGACAGCCCGGAGCCCGGAGCCTGCTTCGGATTCTGTGTCTCCCTCTCTCTCTGCTCCTCCCCCACTCACACTCTGTCTCTCAAAGATAAATAAACGTTAAAAAAAAAAAAAAAAAAAAAAAGAAGTGTGGCCGTGTTGAAAAGTAACTTGAGAGTGGGTATCATGAAGCCCTCAGATCTTCATAGTCTAAGAATTTCTTCTAAGAAAAGAATCAGATACACAAAGATTATACCCACAGATATTTACTGGAATCTTACGTAAAATGATGAAAATGGAAACAGCTGATCGTCAGCTAAAAAATGATCAAAATAAGTGATGCCATATCCCTGAAAAGTAATATTATGGAACCATTAAAAAGTATGTTTCAAGGAATAATTAAGGCAATGGAGAACTGTTCCTGATATAGTAACAAGAAGAGCTGGAAACAGTTTTTTACTTAACAGAATCCTGATTCGTGTGGAGAATCATACAGGTATCTACAGAAAAAAACTGAAAAAAATCTTTTTTTGATTTGTTTGAACGTTTTTATTCATTTTTTTAAAATTTTTTTTCAACGTTTTTTATTTATTTTTGGGACAGAGAGAGACAGAGCATGAACGGGGGAGGGACAGAGAGAGACGGAGACACAGAATCGGAAACAGGCTCCAGGCTCCAGGCTCCGAGCCATCAGCCTAGAGCCCGACGCGGGGCTCGAACTCACGGACCGCGAGATCGTGACCTGGCTGAAGTCGGACGCTTAACCGACTGCGCCACCCAGGCGCCCCATCATTTTTGAGAGACAGAGAATGAGCGGGAAAGGAGCAGAGAGAGGGAGACACAGAATCTGAAGACAGACTCCAGGCTCCAAGCTGTCAGCACAGAGCCCGACACGGGCTCGAACCCACGAACCCGGAGATCATGACCTGAGCCGAAGCCGGACGCTCCCCCGACTGAGCCACCCAGGCACCCCGGAAAACATTTTTTAATGTAAGCAATCTCTGGGTTATGAAACGTGGATTTTAAAAATTCTTTACACTTCTGTGTATTTTGCAGATTTTCTTCCAATGACTATGAATTACCTTTATACTTTAATAAAAGCCTTTTCCTTCTAAGAAACAAAAAGCCTGATTCTGATTTCAGCCAGAAAATGGTCTATGGCCTTTGTCTGGGCCGATTTAGACCCGAGCTGAATTCTGCGTAATTCTGCCCTCTGAAATGCTGCTGCTCCGTCGTTCTTGGCAGTAAAAGACCCTCCAGGCACTTGAGCCAGAGCCTTGCAATCAGAGTCGTGATTGCTAAGAGGTTCAAGCTTTGTTTGCAAGAGAAGAAGTTCTGATTCTTTTCTTTAAAAGTTCCTACTCGCACTGATTAATCTTATTTTTCATGAAGTTAGAAGTGCTCTTGTGAACTTCCAGTTGTGTGAGGTCTTCTTTTTTAACCCCGTAGGTGTTCCAGAAAGCTTTCGGTCTCTACAGAGTTGGTGGGAGCCCCAGACAGGTTAAGGGTGGCTGTTGAGGAGTAGTTCACGTTCTAGGTGCTGCTGTGCTTGATCCAAGCACTCTTCCCCTCAGCCTCCCTTCCTGGGGAACTACCTGGGCATTTGGGTGTTGTGGTCTGATGCTCTCCTGAGCCTAAAACCCTTTGGACCCATCTTCAGCCTGAATCCGTGGAGCCTGAATCCAGCCTCAGGCCACCCAACTCTCCATCTCCCTCTCCCTCAGTCTCAGCCTTGTTTGCCGGTCAGAGCCCAGCAGGCTCCCCTCGGACATGTCCCATGACCTTGCTTCTCAGGTAGGGGCCTTAGCTCCCTTCCTCGGCCTCCTTTATCTTTATTCCCTAAATATAGGACTTCTAGGTGCTTAAGGACATAGTTCTGCCCAATCCAGCCCAGTCCTGGGCTGCTTTCTCTCTCCTCCAGAAATGGATCTGCAACCCGCATCAGTGAACCCACAGATCCACAGGCCCCACCCTATGGTAAAGTCCTTGAAGTTCCGGTAACAATTGAGTGTCAC